GTCGCCGTTGCCGAGCGGCGATGTGTCTTTATACCGTGCCGCGAGGTGCCGGCGGCACTGCCCGGCACCTTACCGGCGACCCCCGCTTTATCCAATGCGGTTCTGTACAGAGTTTGTGCTCAACTTCTTGTTGCATCGGATTCTCACAGTCACCCCATAACTGCACTCTATAACAAGCGACTCGTATCTGCAGGGTATGGAGAAGAGCCATTGGCGGGCCAAGACCATGTACACATCAACCACACTCAGCATGGCGGCGGACGCGATCGCTTGAGCGCGCTCTTGCAGATGCTCCAGTTTGAGTACCGGTTAATGTTTCATCGGAAGCGTGTGCAAGCATGCGCTGAGGCTAGAAAGGAGGTACGCCGGCTGAAGGATTTGAGAGCGGAGAAGTACGCAAAGCGTTGGTTTGATTCGGATGCGGCAGAAAAGTTGGCGGAGTGGCGGGCAAAGATGCAGAGGGTGGGAAGTGTTTATAAACCGCGTGTTGTTGAGGAGGACGAGCTTGTACGGAAAGCAGAGGAGGCAGCGTTGTCTGACCCAGATGATAGTATGGCTGGGGACTTGAATGTTGATGAGCTAGAGTCTGATCTTATTGACCGGCAGCAAGAGCTAGAGGAAGACTTTGATGCTTTGCAGCAAGAACTGCATTCTATTTAGTTGACGATATATGTGCGCGTTGTGATAGGATGTCTGAAAAGTGGGTGGACGCTCTGCAAAATATTTGGTTCGTTTTTATGCACCACACTACCACACAGGCGGTTTATATGCGGTTCTGGGTACCGCGGTTAGACCGTGGATGCATCGCGGAGTATCCTTGGAGTAACCAACGACAAACCGCGGTCTCAGAATCCAAGATCGCGGTTTGAGATGGGCTGCCCGCAGTCTACGTTTCGACTGAAGTTATATACGGGGCCGCACATTCATTTAATATAAGGGTCGGACCGGTCGATAATATACGGCTTATAGGTTTATATACGCGGTCGACATAATCGATCGCGCTTGACCGGAGCTTGCAATCGCGACGTCAAGATCGAATCAAAACGTGCTCACTTTTTGTTTTCTTGTATCTTTTTTTCGCGTCGATGAAACACTGAGCTGTGTTTTGGAGCTTGTTACATGTGGTGGCTAGAGCTTAAGTCCAAGTTTACGCTTTGTTTCTTTAGGGAGAACTGTAACGGCAAACAATACAAGTTCGGTTTATTTATTTGCCCCATTTTCAAGCCATGAAACCTCAGGATTCCGACCCCCAAACCGCGGTTTCGAGTCTTGAGACCTCGGTCTCAAGATCCGCAAACCACGGTCAATCCGCGGTTACTCTGGGGATGCATTGCGGTCTGGACCGCCGAGTCCTCGGTCTCCGAAATTGCATATAAATCGCCTGTGCACTAGTCGATCACCTCGTCCTGCAATAGAGTGCAGTGCCATAAAGCAAAGTAAATGCCATGTCAATTTCATTGTATATTAGGCAACAGGCCGAATGATGCGTGCGCACCATGTCTGCAATGTGGATTCATCATGCACCGGAGCTTCTTAAAGTCGCGTCAATTGTACTAATTGACACGTACGTAAATCTCACGTGACATGCGCCGGACGGTCTTGTCCATCGAAATATACCGGCAGCGAGAACTTTTATATGTTGATGGGCGCGGTCCAAACACATGAGCTATTTCGTCTCATGTTGCACACAGTGCACATAATCATATGGAAAAGCGTTGATGCTTTGAAGTTAGTGGCCGCGCTCGCTGAAACTAGCTTCGATCCAGCAACAAGAATTAAATAGTAGGCGATATTAAGTTATTGAATGTCATGATGATTGATTGTGACGGCCCGTCCAGTCGCAGCAGCAGCGCTATGGATGTACACAGTCTCGCGCGCGTTCTGGCACTCGGTCACGCGGCATTTAGGGTTTTCTTTGAGACTAATTTCTGCAACCTTTGCCTCATATTAAATTTGGCATTAAGTGTCAAGCTTATCAGTCCATATGCCGGGCCAATTGGACCGACTCGCTCGACATGCCTTGACACCACGCTCAAAATTCCGAATTTTCTTCAGGCGAGTTCAGCAAGAAGGAACCGTGACGGTACGGCCGATCCGGTCCCTTCCGAGGATGGCAGTTCTTACGTACGGTTAACTTCTAGTGTCAATCCAGGCTGACCGACGTTGCAGCGAAGCTGACCGATATGTTCCGTATGCTGCAACACATTTTTCGTAACCGCGCATCCCGTTCTAACCAAGGTGAAATTTACCTTGCACCTCAAGGTACCGCGCGCCGTCGGGTGATCCTGCTGGATGATTTCTCCTGAACGGTCGGTTCCCAGATCTCAGGTGACAGGACCGATTCAATGGGCCCCGGTCGGTCAACCGGCCGGCTGTGCGGAAGTCACGAACCCCAAGGTACGTGGTACAGTACTAACGCCGGCAGTGGGCACCATGAGATAAGCTATGCTTACCTCGTTGATATACGGTACGGTACGCCTCGCGGCCTGCTGCGTACCGGTTCAAAAGGCACACCTGATGGACTGATATTGCAGGCAAGGTTGAAGCTCTTATACTCTGCCCATATGTATAAGCGCAGCCACGCGTCCGTGTGCCCAGAATATGATAAGGCGGGTCAAAGCCTGGGTATAGGCGCTGCCCTCTTGGGCACAATCGGTTCTAAAAGCACACCTTTTTGACCGATCACTCCGGCAAATCCCAGCGGCTTATGGCCTGCCCTCATACTTTGACCGGTCGGGCCGGGCGAATTACTACGCGGCCGACGCGGTAAATGTCGCCCGCCTGGCATCATATGGCCTGCCATGCAGTGGAGGCAGTGGGCCCCGTGGGGGCACACGTGACCTGCAGCCATGCAAAGTACGTAGCTTATTTTTTATATACCTTGGCTCGCAAAGAGCCGTGATCATCTAGCTAGCTTTGATTATTGAATAAACTTGAGGAGACGATTCCAAAGAAGCCTAGCATAAACAGCGTAGTAGATCATAAGAGCTCAGTCGGAGAACCGTCGATGAGTAATAATGAAACCCATTAATGCGTCACTAAATCCATGTGCGCGTCTTTCCATCAACATGTGCAGCGCTAAACAATATAAGTTGCACAATTACGCTAGGCCCCTCGCATATCGAAACAGTAGTACGCACCATGAGCGCGTGGGGTATGTCAGTTGAGTACATCACTGAGCACACACGTATGCACAATATATATTTTTCCGGCGCTACTATAATAGCTGTTTGGCCCGGACAGTATGCATATGGCACTGCCAGTATAACACCGTATGTTATTGTCTCCAGAATCAATTATAGTGAATTTTCTTGTTTCTACCCGGCATGATTCAGCAGTTGTCACTAGCCTACATTGAACATGGTCAAGTGCTTGTGGAAGATACGTACAATTGATGGATTGAGACGAGGTCAATAATTGTGCGGCCGGACGAAAATACAACAATTCGCATTTCATTTTGCAAAGCTTGCTACCCAATGACACTGCAAGACTTCATGGCACATCGATCACTCATGCATGTGCAAGCTGCGCACATGATAGTCGACCCAAGCATATGGCCGGCAAGCACGCAGCGACTGTCGGAAGAACCGTTGAGCTTCCAGTCAAAAGCAAAATCGATAAAGCGAAAGCCAACGATGACCCGGTTTTGAGAGGATGGACGGACCTTAGCTTCACAAAGTACACTACATACTGCAATCAAGTTTCGTAGCATATCAACAAGACTTATCCCACTTTGCTTAAGTGAAATAAATAAAGTGCACATGCAAACCAATTGGCTTCTATAATGGAATTATTAGGGCCTTGCGTCTCCGCCTGGTCCATTAAAAAGTTGTGGAGAAACATTCGTAGTGTATCTGGCCCATCCCCACTGTCTGGTAGCTCCTCCTCTTGCAGCTGCAGTAATACATGTCGATTAAAAGAGAAACTAGCAGGGTCGAAAAGCAGCGAAATAAGGTACGAATCAAGAGGAAGGACCCTCGCATTCCCAGGAAACAAATCAGTCCGGAACGAGACTTTCAAGAAGGCCATGGCGATGAGGAGCAAAGGTAAAACCTTGAAGACAGGCGGCAAGCGTGGCTGTGCACAGACAACGAAACCCGACGGCTGACTTGGCACTTACAAGGGCCACGGAGTAGGCTGGACTTCTCATAATAGTTCGAGCGTTGAGAAGGACGTGCAGGCCGCAATCATCGCTACCTGCACGTTGCTGCGGAACCTGCACATCAAGTGGGTTCAGATTACCGTTCCAAACGGAAACTTCGCGGGTACATCAGACCTGTACGCTGGAATTGCTCCAAGGGCCCCTCATGCAAGGGCCTGCTCAGTCCCCCATTGCAGAGTGCAAGAAAGTGTACGGTGCGCACATGATTGGCGAAACAACTCACTAGAGCTTTGGTGCAGGGCAGGGACGAAGCCTGGAACTGAGGAAGGAGGCCGTTTCTGAGCGCCCTCTCTCCGATCCACTTTCGATGCACCCAAATCTTGGAGAGGACCCTGCATAAATGAAGAGACAAGTTCAGCTGCGTTTGGGTCAAAGAATATCCCATCAGGTCGGTGACGATTGGTGCATCGGGCAACCTGGTCGTGGCACTTCGCAGCGCAACAGGTCGCGCTGCGAAGTGCCACGATCTGTCGCGCTGCAAAGTGCCACGACCTGTAAGTCAATTGTTGTTTCGATTGATCAGAAGTCTTCTCAAAGAGGTGTTCCAGATCCTTAGCAGCCTTCATCAAAATCGCACAAGAAGGTGTCTTCGAACTGAAGTTGGTAACACTGAACCTTCGTTGACAAACCTTCGCGCTTCGACTCACCATCTTAGGTACTTTTCAATGCCATTGTGGAGTCGGGAATTGCGGAGGGAGTCCAAGTGGATTATGCAGGACGGGTCCCACCTACCATGAACCAGCCCCTTCTCGTTCACGAGAATGAGCAGGCTCCAGTGAAGCCTGCAGAAAATAAGAGAAGTTGCTTTGGAAAAGTTTGAAGCAGCGATACAAAGAAGGATGAGTGGACAAGTGCAGAAAAGGCATCGACATTATCAGGTTCGTAGATCTTGCACGAAATCAAAGGATGCAAAAATCATCGTCTTGCGCTAGACAAAACAAACTGGTCAGTGGACGTTCAAGAAAGTGTTGGCTCAGCCGCCGGGGGTTTGCTTCTTTCTCTTGTCGCACTTCAGTTTTCAAACGCTACATACACGGGAACCCGCTTTCACAGCTTTGAGTTAACGGGCTACGTACCTGTCGCAGAATGGGAGCAGCCAGTACCGGTATGAGAAGAGGTCGTCGACAGAGAGCTGCCGCCGCGCTACGCGAGCAAATCGTAGGATCTCTTCCATAGGAGCATGCACCCGTCGAGTACTGCTCTTCTCTGCAATCCCAAACTCCTCTGCGACTCTCTTCAAGAAGAAAGAGTCGAACACGAGGACTTCTGCCGCAGATTTCTGACACTGAAGTTTAATCTCCCTGCACAATGGAAGCGATAGTAAGTCTACACACGCAAAGGTCGGTTGCTCGACACGATGCTCAAGGAGATGGATCGAAAACAGAAAGCAATTGCGCAACGAAGCCATCTCGGGGAAAATCGTGACCTCCCATGCTGTCCAGACCCGTTCTTTCTCTACGAGAGGCTTCGGACGGACCTCACCTTAGCTAGCTATTGACAATCTTGTCATCAACCAGTTTCCCAGGTCTCAGCTTGTCCATATTCTCTTTCGAGAGGAAGATGGAGTTGACCGCATTTGGATGAGGGTAAACAAGGTAAAAGCCTGCAAGTGAAGAACTCCTCCGTGAGGACCTGACGCGATTCTTGTTCCTGCCCTTGACAAAACTTTGCCAAGACCTCAGTCCCTAGATAGATTGGCAGAAGACGACCAAACAAATGGTCCGTTGCATTGGAAGGCTTTAAGCGAGTGTCCTCAGAACCACAGTCTGGCTGTTGAAGATGGTGCTGCACTTGTAGAGCCTTGCTTCTTAAGCGAGTTCTGAAAACACCAAGCATACCTTCAGTCGCCCACGGAAATGCACTCTCACCTTCGGGTGTCAACCACTTGGCCTCTTCTTTCTCTCGATGCGCGCGGTTCACCCCTTCCAGGATTCTCCGTAACAGACAGCTTTTCTTCTCCGATGGTTGCAAAGCCATTGTTGCGATCTTATCCTGCAAGAAGGATGCAGGTTTGTGATCATCATCCCAATCAACTAGACCAGCGGCACCTTAGGAATGCTGGGATCCGAATACAATAGCAGCCAGCCTGCTCCTCCAACAGCAATGTTCAACTGGGGCAATTTGGTAAAAAGCTTTTCACAGTGCACCAAAAGAGCAGACTGGCAATCATTGTTAGCAAAGCATGAATGATAGAGAAAGTTTCGTACCAAAAGATATCTTGAGAAGTACTCAACACCCGCTGCGTCTGTGCAGGACACGATGCCAATTGGACTGCTCCACAAAGGCCACTCATCTGGGATGTCTAACTGGACGGTAAATGCTCCGTCTTTGGACTTGAACCCAATGAACGGCTCTGCTTGTTCTTGTGGAGGCGTTTCGATGGTCATCCTGCAACTTCCAATCAAGAAATCCTGAAGGACGGCAATGATGGGATTGCATATATATCCATGACTAGAAGAGCCAAAGTCACATATCTGGAAAGAAGGAATCTTTCCGGAGCGCAGAAGGCAACCAGCTGAAGCAGAGGTCAAATCCAACTTCATGGAACACAGGCACAAAAAGGAACTGGCGCTGCTTCACATAGAACCTACTTTGCAGCTGCAGCAACTCTTCGCAGCACTGTAGTGCGCCGAAAACAACTGGACAAGGAAAATCGACAGGACATGACGAACTGTTCGAAGTCCAAGGTCCCGAGGATCTTGTCCGAAACTGGATACATTATGCATCCATATTCAGGCCACTGCAAAACAGGTAGCTTTTGATAGACCATGAGGAGCTTCGGTTAAAATCTTGCAACCCACAGCCAATCACAGCACAGGGACGAACCTCACAGACATGACAGCCTAACATTTCTGCAGGCTGGAAGCACAATTGACCCACCTGTACATCAATGACCTGAGACCAGTCCTCCTTGACTGTGACTGTGTAGCTCAGAAGGTGCTCAGACTCATACAAATCGTTCTGGGCCCAGCCAAGCTCGTGGTACCGAACTACCATCCCAAGCTCAAACTTGCAGCTTGTATCTGATGCACTGAAGGTGACTTCAGGCAGCGCTTCGATCAACTCCTTGATTGCCGACCTGCAAGCATGGTAAAGAAGACCAGTCAGCTAACACTCGAGCTGGTTGGTTGAAATCAGGGAAAGCTGTTTCCGTGCAGGCATTTGCGAAGTCCAAATGAGTAGAATGCTCGGTGCATAACATTTCTGCTTGGATGTTGACACTCCTAGCAACTTTCACGCCTTTTCTTGTAGGCAACAGATGGATCCCATGACAAGCAGGACGGAAGCAGTGCAGCAAGTGTGCTGTAACTTACATGCTGTACTGCGGCGCGCAGCCAGAAGAATGGGAAACAGGGGCGGCTGGACGAGCAGGGGACTGTCCAATGACGAGCCGGCGTCTCACGGCAGCAGGGGAAGGGGCAGGAGAAGAGGGATCCCCTTCAAAGAAATGCGGGGATGGGCAGTCCGGAAAGAGGTTCTCGTGGGCTGAGGGAGAGGGGCTACAGACTGGAGCGGTTTGCAGCTGGGGCTGAGGACTGCGAGCTGCTGACGACGGCGCAGCTGGATGCACCTGAAGCTGGGGGGATGGAGCAGACATACTGGGGGCAGCAGTGTCGGCCTTGGACATTTTCCTTGGCCTTTCTGTGAAGTCTACCTCAACAAACTTCCGCTTCTCCCTACGTGAATCGATGATTTGCTGGTAATCTGGATCTGCTTTCCCTTTTGTGACCTTCCTGCCTCGTTCATGCAGCGTCTGGACATACTTTTGAGCCTTCCTTCTCAGGCCTCCCTTGCCCAAAAAATCCACCCCTCTTTGCTTTGCCAGACTCCTCAGCTCCTTCTCAATGCCTCTCTGCAGTTCAGCTGGCAGGTCGTGCCACAAAGGTGGCGCACCAGTATGCTCATCAACGAGTATCCTCTGCCGCACAACTTCTCTCATGCTCTCTGCAATGTCCAATGTGGTCTGATCCGTCTTTCTTGAAGGCGCCATTTTCTACAGACTGCCTATTGCCCACACAATTCTGGCGGCCTAGCTCAACTGTGCAAAAGACTGCAGACAACCGAAAGCACAGTAAGTGAGGCACAGTCTGCGATTCACTTCTCAGCAGAAACCCACCATAATGCTGCAGGAACTCAACAGAACACCCCATGCAACCTCACGGGGCAGTTATGGTGATTTTCGGCCCGGCGGAACTTTGCCGCAGACCAATATATTTGGGTCGCGCACCGTACCATATTCCGACGAAATCGCGAATTTCAGCGGGCGAAACTGCGGGGTCATGTAGGACCTCGGCGAGTACTTCCCCCGATATTCCCCCGAGAAAATTCCCATATGCCCCAAAAATTTCTACTTTGTGGCAATTTGCCTTGAAAAAGGGCCTTGACATATGGCTTTACAACTGCAAATTTAAGAGACATGTATGTGGGAAAGTTATGCAGCACCTCCAAGAAGATGTTGACAAGATATACTGAGCTTTGTAGAGCACTTTCCTAAGCTTTTGTCATGATGCTGGCGCCATTGTTCATCCATGGTGGCTTGAGGCTTGTCCACCATTCTTCTTGCTTCTCTGTGGGAAGGTGTTCTCAATCCAGACCTTGACACTCAAACTTTTAGAGGCCAGAGATCGCCAAGGTGGGGGTCATTCCGGTAGGCCTGGCAAGGGGGGGGGTCAGCTGCCGCGTTTGGGAAAAACTGAAATATGCCCCGGGCACTTGTATGTGTCTAGCTGTTAGGTAGAACGTCCGCCCGGTGATTCACAACGGTCACGCAGAATTTCAAACTTTCCTACCTACCGTACCAACACGCCGGTTGGGCAGATTTTTGCCCAATAATTAATTACGTACGTTTTGAAATTTGGGCAACTCATTTTGGAATTTTTGAGAAATTTGAAATTTTTGGAATATATGGTCAACAACCCTTTTTTTACCAGCCAAAAATGATCAAAGATCAGTTATTAGATTTTTGACTCATTTGAAAATTTGGGCAGAATGAAAAGCAGAATATAAATATTATTGCAAATTTTGGGCAAAATCAAAAACAATTAATTGATGCCCAACCGGCGTGTTGGTACGGTACTGGTAGGTACTACCTACCGAGTACGTGGTACAGTACGCAGTGCGCACGGTACCTACCTGGGTACCCATGCAGGCCACTACCGGCATACAAATCAGCTACGGTAGGTACCTACCCTTCTACCTGCATACCTAGGTACATAGGACATAGGTACTAGCTCCTGTACCGTACCGACGGTACCGTGCCTATCAATTTAGAAGGTACCGCTACCTTGGTGTACTGCAGGTACCCAGGTAGGCTTTACCTGATACGTAGTCTACCTGGTACCTACCGCCTTGCTGACCCCGGTTGCTTGGTGCACCTCCAAGTTGGACACTACCGAGGCAGTGCAGGTACCTAGGTAGTACCGGTACCCCTTGTCGGCCGCCCCGGCCCGCCGTAGGTATATACTACCTACGTACGTATACCGTACCTAGAGCATTGGGCGGTGTCACACTTCCTCCGAAGTGCAAATGGTGAAGCCCGGGGCAAAATCGCCCGGGATTTGCCCCAATTTTACGGCATTATTGCGCGCCGCATAAAAAGTCCGGGCGCAGCGCCGGCGGGAGCACGGCGCACGGACATGTAATTAATCGTGCGATTTGTCCACGGTCTTCGCGCGGAACCCGCCGCAATTTTGCCCCGGGCCGAAAAGCACCGTAACTGTCCCGTGCTAAGAGCCTGCCTCCACTGCCCGCTGGAGAGGCATTCTTCCTGGGAATAGCCTCTGAAGTGAGCAGATGAGACCGTAGTGAGCTTTGGAATCTGGCTGCCAAATTTACCCAGAAATTTGTTCTGCTTCTACAAATTCGAAAGCTGTGCGTTCCTGCAAAATCGGTTTAGTTACTGTCGCGGGGGTTTTAACCCTTGGGCGTTCGCAGGATCAGGTGGGGCCAAAACTAGCACTCTTTAAAACAAATGCAAAACAATTCAGAAAAAAAGAAACTTTGACGGTCGATGGTGGGAATCGATCCCGGGACCCTTTGGTATGTTGGTATACCCCGGTCGGTTCCGAAAAGTACACTCGGACGGTCGGAAACGTACACATGTACACCCGCCGTACTCGCCGCTGAAATGTCAGCACTTGTCAGCACTTGTCAGATTTCAACGGAATGATGACCTTATGACACGTTTCAGCTCGTCATTTGATGAAAACTTGGCCGAATTGAGCTCGGTTTCGTGCTACTGGTAGCTAAAGACGGTTTCCGACCGGTGTACCGGTAGACTTTTGACCTACTGGTCGGGACCCGGTAGGTTCTGGTGAGTGCCCGGTTGATGACGGAAAATGGAGAAAGTACAAAAGGGCGACCCATGAAAGTCGGACCAAACGAGCATTTCCGGTGGGCACATTTGGTCACGGCCCCCCTCTAGTGAAACTCTAGGGCACTGTATTGTCACTTTGAATTTTGGGGCCCAGACCCGGTTGGTGGCGGGGGGTTATATTTGAATA